ATTCCTGTTCCATGCTGGCTGCTGCAAAAAGTGGCCTCTCCATCTCTGCCTCTCTGTCCAATGGTGTGAAGGCAGCCCCTCAACTCCACCTTTTTATTAGATCTGGAGGCAACAGGTCATAATGGTTTAATGTTTTCCTTTAGCACCCTAAGCTTCACTTTGAGAAGAAGCCACCATTCTTGTCACGATGCAGATAGGGAAGTAGCTAATTCCCACACAGCAATGGTGGGGTCATAAATCCACACCTTTGTAATTGCTGTCATCTTTGACAGTCTCATTTCTTTGTTCACTTCTTTCAGGTTGTATTAGTGTCATGGTACATATCCAGACAGAATAATTTCAGCCAGATCAGCTGAAATGCATTAAAAATGCTAAAAAAGTAATAGACATAATTCCTTAATATTCCATAATGACAGAAGACGAGGGAAAGAACAAGATTAAAACAAAGGAATTCTGATAGTCCAAATATTAAACGTCACAACATACCAGCTGTGTATCCACATACAAGTGTATTGCAAGTGTGGATGAATCCCCACAAGGACCATAAGAGGATGTCAGAGAGCTTTTCCCAGGTTTAACTACTTGGCATGGATAGTAAGCATAAAGATCTTTAATAGAAAGTGTTACTAACAGGCCATAAGGACACAAGTGGTTGGTTTGATGACTTTACATGAGATATTTCAGAACCTTTTTGAAAAAAATGTCAATACTCACAATTCCTATCAACTGACCTCAAAAGACAACCTTTACACAAAAAGAGCACAAAGGCAATACTGTTTTCCTGGGTGAGCTGTTAACAGAAAAGCATGCTTGAGAACTGCTCAGTGACAAGTGCTCAGATTAAATCTAGAACTAAAATCAAGTCCTGAGCAGTAAGATGGAAATAAAGAAATAGGAAACAAAGGTGAAATAAGAAGCAGAAAAATTAGAATTTTCAGCAGCATTTTATAGTGAAAGGTGTTACATGACTTTACGATGAAGTATTACTTCCTTTTCATAAATCCATGCTGCCTGCTCCCAATGACCTTCTTGTCCTTCATATGTTTGGAAATTATTTCCAGCATTATTTGCTCTATCAGCTTCTCAAGGATCAAAGTAGAGCTGACCAGCCTTTAGTTCTCTGAATCCTCCTTGAAGATAGGAGTGACAATAGCTTTCTTCAAGGCCTCAAAAATGCCCCTCCGTCTCAAAGACCTTTCAGAGATTATCAACAGTGGTCTTGCAATGACATCAGCTGGCACCATCAGCACTCTTGGGTACATCCCATCAGGTCTCATGGACTTGTGTGTGTCCAATTCATTTCAATGCTCCCTAACCCAATCCTCCTCTATGGATGCTAAGTTTTCCTTGCTCCAGACTTTCCCACTGGTCTCAGGGATCTAGGATTCCTGAAGGCCAGCCTTACAAGTAAAGACTGTGGCAAAGATGACACTGAGTGCCTCAGCCTTTTTCATGTCCTCTGTCACCACATCCCCAGTCTGTATATATTATTTTCATGCACACAGTGTTTTAATGATTAAAGCCAGAATTTCCCAAACACTCAGGAAAACACATGTTGCAGATACTAATCTTTAACTGAAATAGGGCATATCCAAAAGATAAGCAAA